TCGACGGGGGGCGGAATAACAACAGAAGTCATCCAGGCTGGAGGGGACACGATGATCACTCTGGCTTGACGAGAATTCTTCAATAGAGCAATGGGCAGAGAGAAAGGTAACCAGTGGATTGGCAAAGATCAGTTTGTAGTACCTATCTGGAAGAAAAAAGGGAAACAAGATAGAGAATGTGGACACGTCATAGAGGTATATGCTTTACTAAGTCATGTGGGGAAAAATGTCTGTCAAAGATCGTTAGAAGGTAGGATAAGAGCAAAGGTTGAACCTCCTATCTAGAGTAACAGCACAATTCGGTTTCAGACCAATGGCGCGGTTGCACTGATGCCAGTCTGTGCCCTAAGACAAGTCTTGGTGAAAAGACACTCGCCTACGATAAAGAGCTAAACGTGTCTTTGTAGATCAAGAGAAGGCATTCGACCGTGTGGACAGAGATGTGCTGTTGAGAATTCTTGACGATTACGGAGTGCAGGGTCAATTAATTAGACAACATCAGAGCCCTCTATGAAAAAAAGTGAAAGTGCAGTAAGAAACATCTAGTGGTCTTTCTGAATGGTTCAAAGTCACAACTGGTGTTCAGTCAAGGATGTGTACTGTCACCAATTACTTTTCATAACATACATGGATAAGATCACTGTAGAAGCAAACCAGACGTGTATGCTATAAACGAATTACTTTTTGCTGATGATCAAAGCATACTGTATCAAAATGAATATGATCTACAGGAACATCTGACTACTCTTAACAACAGCTGTTTACAACATAATATGAGAATCAGTACAGAAAAAACAGAAAGTTTATGAAGATCAGCAGAACACACAGGCCACTGAATATAAATGTTGGAAGTGCCACTAAACCGGTCACCAACAATAACAAATCTTAGTGCAAATTAAACGTCGCAACCATGTTCAGGTTCAGCCTTTCCTTAGGTTGATTCAAACAAGTAAGACTATGTTTTATGCTGGACCATTTTCATCGCGAAAGGAAAATAGGATGTACGTAAAATAAAAGTAGAAAGTTATTCATTATTCTACAAACTTGCTTATGCTAGCTAAACTTCATAACTATGATGATAACTATCTATTAACTTCAGTCGACATATCAGGCTTACACAGCATTCTTCTTCTTCTTCTTTTGACTCCGGTCATTCCATAGATATAAAATCTAACGAAAAGTATGTCAGCGAGCTTCACAGTATAGCAAACACTAACAAAATATTGCAGCTTCGGAGCCTTTTCAGCACATATTATATATATTATAAATTAGACGGTTATCCTCCGAATAAGTTCAATCAATAACTGTCCCAAATTATCGAGGCCGAAAATATACCCTAACAGGGCCTCATTCACATATCAATTGCGGACTTCCGGGGACTATACCGCCACCTCCCGAATTGAGGACTTAAGCCACCGCCGCTGAATTGGGGCTAAACTAGATGGCTGGGACTCACGAGCAAATAAAATGAAGGAAGCTGCAGGAGATGTGGTAGCTGCTGCTCCTGAGTCCCAGCCATCTAGTTTAGCCCCAATCCATGCTGCATGAGCGGCGTGGTGAAAGTTGCTGGATGTGCGCAGTGTAAGTCGCCAGAAGTCTGCAATTGACACGTGACTGAGGCCCTGTTAGGGAATATTTTTGGCCTCAATAATTTGGGACAGTTATGCGGAGGATAGCAAATTAGACAATACTAGTCATACTACACAAATACACAATATCACTTATCTTCCTATCTTGAGGCAGCCAGGTCAGTGTCTAGCCAATAGTCTGGCGAGGCACTTGAGACCAGGATAAGATGAAACTGTGTTGTCAATTTGGCCAGAATAGCAAATAACCAAAAACCAACTGAAAAGTCAAAGGGCTCTCCTCCAAACTTTGTCCCCATATTATGGCGGCCAAACAAATACCCTAACAGGGCCTCAGTCGTGTGTAAAATGCGGGGTGCATATGGGGACGAAGTTCAGAGGAGAGCCAGGCAAAGCTTTCACCATCTATCAAAATTGTACTAGACAAAAAAACTGACATCCTTTCTAAAGATCCTTCAACATGGGAAATGATCCAGGCATACAGCATAGACCTACAGCTTAACTATACAGTCACAACAACAATTCCAGGCATAGACAGAAGGGCTAAATAAAATGACCTAGTGATGCATGCGAAGACCTTTGAACATGTCTACAACTCTTATCCAAAACCCTAATGGACACACATATACACTGATGGATCATTAGAGGGAGCCACACCACACACACACACACACACACAAAAACAGAGAAGCTGGATCGGTCATTATGCTGCAAGATTGGACCACAGTAGAAACATCAGGCGCCTCTGGAAGACTCAACAAACTTCAGAGCAGCAAGCAATTACTGATTTAGCCAAAGTGCTAGAGGAAGAAAAATTACAAACAGTAAAAATTGTTTTCCTTTGTGTCTGCATGTGAGTCCTCCAGGCAACTCAGAGGGATCCACGAGACAACATGGAAAGAGAACTGACCCGCCAGCTAAACAGACTCACAGAAAACAATCAAATCGTTCTCCACTGGATCTCGGCATACCAGGAAATGAGTTAGAAAAAAATGGAACAAAGGAGAAACAACACCTCCATTTATTGTCATTATCAGAAAACAGAACACTTATGAAAGGAAAATACAAGGAATTTTGGAGAGAACAAACTAACAGTAACCCCATCAGCAGGCTCAACAAAAAGCAACAAACATACAACAATTTTCTGTCTACAAACAGAACACTGCTGGCTCAAATACCACATACATAAAATAAAGATTGTACAGTTCCCATAGTGTACCTGTCAAATGGGACCTGAGCACATTCTGCAGACCTGCCCACTCTACCTACAACTTGGAATAGACACCTGGCCTCAAGAGCAAAGTGTGCAGAGCAGGCTATGGGGAACGATGAAGGACCTGCTACTGACATGTGAGTTTATAGAGGCAACCCACCTGATGGTCTGATCTGAGCATATGAGTTCATAGAGGCAACCCACCTGATGGTCTGATCTGAGCATACGAGTTCATAGAGGCAACCCACCTGATGGTCTGATCTGAGCATACGAGTTCATAGAGGCAACCCACCATGGTCTGGTCTGAGCATATGGTCATGATCTGAGCATACGAGTTCATAGAGGCAACCCACCTGATGGTCTGATCTGAGCATACGAGTTCATAGAGGCAACCCACCTGATGGTCTGATCTGAGCATACGAGTTCATAGAGGCAACCCACCTGATGGTCTGATCTGAGCATACGAGTTCATAGAGGCAACCCACCTGATGGTCTGATCTGAGCATACGAGTTCATAGAGGCAACCCACCTGATGGTCTGATCTGAGCATACGAGTTCATAGAGGCAACCCACCTGATGGTCTGATCTGAGCATACGAGCTCATAGAGGCAACCCACCTGATGGTCTGATCTGAGCATACGAGTTCATAGAGGCAACCCACCTGATGGTCTGATCTGAGCATACGAGCTCATAGAGGCAACCCACCTGATGGTCTGTTCTGAGCATACGAGTTCATAGAGGCAACCCACCTGATAGTCTGATCTGAGCATACGAGTTCATAGAGGCAACCCACCTGATAGTCTGATCTGAGCATACGAGTTCATAGAGGCAACCCACCTGATGGTCTGATCTGAGCATACGAGTTCATAGAGGCAACCCACCTGATGGTCTGATCTGAGCATACGAGCTCATAGAGGCAACCCACCTGATGGTCTGATCTGAGCATACGAGCTCATAGAGGCAACCCACCTGATGGTCTGATCTGAGCATACGAATTCATAGAGGCAACCCACCCGATGGTCTGATCTGAGCATACGAGTTCATAGAGGCAACCCACCCGATGGTCTGATCTGAGCATACAAAACCCAAAGCAAAGAAGAAGAAGGTTCAGTAGGACATGATGTTGACCATATTGTCCTTCAAGAGCTGATTAGTCTAAAAGATACCAGTCCATTTCAATCAACAGGGAACTGCCACTTGTGACCAGGTCTCTTTGTTTCTTTGTTTTAGTATTCAGAAGCCATTAGTTGTTAACACTTAGACTCAGTATTGTGGATATCGCAACCTTTCGGCCTTGATTCCATCGTAAATCTGGGAGCAAATGTGGCTATCATGGCTACCACCGGGTTTGAACCCAGACCACAAGGAGTTCGTCACCCGGTCTCTGCGCAATCCGGTTTAGCCAACTGCTCTTTGTTAAGGAAGTAAATTTTCCTGTAAAAATCAACTTCTTGTTTCATAAAGATGGGTAACTTTTTACATTGTCGTGTGAGGTTATTTAAACGTACTAGCAAAAGACACCACACACTTCATAGAGTTTGGAAAAGGAGACATTTTCTTTGTATTTGGTTTCCTTATGTAAAGTCAAGTTGTCGGAGCAAATGTAAATGCCATAAACTTCGTGGTGTTAGAATTAGATTATCTCTGTCTCTCTCTCTCTCTCAATATGTATGTGGACAAAATGTGTGTGCAAATGTTGTGACCTATGTCAAACAAGTAGCTGCATGTTTTGACCAACCAGCTGCAGTCCAGTGTTTGTCTTTTTGACTGGCTGTTTTTGTCTCTATCCCTCGTTCTTTTTTTTCCCCCACACATTTCTGTTTATGTTTGTAAGAAATCAGTAAGTAAAAGACCCGTTTCCATGCCTGTAGGTGTATTGGGCGTATAGGGCTGGATCTATATTTTATAGACCAATCTGCACTCGGTGGGTGATGTGGTCATGCCAGCTGCCTTTACTTCCCAGGACTATATCTGGTACCCACTCAAGGCTGGGTCCACCAAGTCATTTGAAAAAAAAAAAGTCTGGCTCTGTCAGGACTTGAACCCATGACCTTTTGATGCACAGCCGAGCGTCTAGGCATTACACCACGGCGGATCCTCAGAAATCAGTAGTAAAAAAAAAAAGAAAATCATACTGTTTTTTTAGTGTGCTGTTGTTCTTTTCAATGTCTGTTTAAATATTTGGTCAACCATGATTTCAGATAACAAGCTGCAGGATTTGAGCAGCCAGCTACAGTCCAGGAATGTCCATCTGCAGGTGGAAGTGGACATGTTGAGGGAGGATGGGGGAGACCAGCACACAAGACAGGGCAGCATGTCAGTTATGTTGGATTGATTATCTGATGTTTTAACAGGCACTGATTTTTGTGCTTGTACATCCCATATGGGTTCCAGGTCCCATTGTTTGTGTGTGTGTGCGGGTCCAAGCCCCCTAAAAAGCATATTGTAAAGATCAACTATTTAGAGTTGTTTCCTTTGAAGTCAGAGTGCAGTCTTTAAATCAGGTGTGCATGCAAAACTCAGGTTGAGGAATAAGACTCCGGAAGTGGTTTACAGCCAGTCAATGCCAAGAAGAAAATGTTGCACTAATTCTGTATTTTTTTTTTGGGGGGGGGGGGGGGGATAATAGACGCACTGCCTCCCTAAAAAGCTTGTCATAAGAGTTAACTAATTGGGGGTTTCCTTCTAAGTCCAAGTGCATGTGCTTGAGTGGTGTAAGGAACCAGCTTACAGTAACTTGAGTAAATTGAGTAATGGAAACTTGAAAACATCCCAATGCATGCATATCATAGGCATTTTACTCTCAGATGGTCATCTCCAGCATAAGTCTCCCGTGAGTTGCAGAGTTTTAATTGAGTGGGGAATATGCTAGCAAATTAGTCACCACACATCGCTGGACATGTGAACAATCTCCACGCTTTTGTCAGTAACTGTATTCTTTAGTTTTCAGGTGTACAGAAATTATTTGTCAGACAAAGATAAAAGAAATATACTGCATTTAGAAAACCGCAGCATCTGTGCAATTGTGAGAGTCATAAGAACATGGGAAATCTAAGACCACATGCAAAAAATGTGTGTTGATCTGTATATGATCTTTCCAGATGTTTGGTACAAGTGTTGTTGATCTGTACATGATCTTTCAAGATGTTTGATACAAGTGTTGATCTGTACACGATCTTTCAAGATGTTTGATACAAGTGTTGATCTGTACAGGATCTTTCAAGATGTTTGATACAAGTGTGATGGCATGCGTTTTGAAACACACTATAGTATGACATCTGAGGCACCGGCAACTGATCATACTTCGATTCCTTGACATTTTGTTTCAGGGGAAACAGTTCAACTGTGCATGCCCTAGAACAGAAGCTGTACAGACTGCAGGAAGAGCTCACTGAAATGCACAAGAAGAGAGGGGAGGTAACTTATATTTCTATACGGCCTGTTTTTACCACTTGTTTGTCTTGTTTAGGGCAGTGTAGGCTGAGGATTGGGAGGGCAGGGGATTGGGAGGGCGCCGGTTTGGGAGGGTTAGGGATTGGGAGGGCACGGGATTTGGAGGGTGGGGGATTCTTTAGCCTGAGGATATTTAAGGCTGTATGGCCGGACAGTCATCACTGAAAACATTTATGACCTTACCCAGGAATCATCTTTAATGTTTATCCAAAGATTTAAATGTGTTGTGCCCGTTCACAACAAGGCTGCGATATTTGTACTTTTCAGCCGACATGTCTGACTTCTGCAGGAACTTGTTGCCTGGGCAACCATCCAAGACTGAGGAATTGAATGTAGATATCTCAGATTAGAACCCAGCATTTCTAACCACTGGGCCAGATGTGTCTCTTCTGTTTTGAACTATGTTAATTTTTACCCTTATGTCCCATGAATGCTGAAAAAAAAATGTCTGGAGTGAAGTCCTCAACAAAATAACAACTTTACACCAGCCGCTAATAAATTTGTATACTATTTACTAGATTTAATTGACAAGCTTCAACCAGGATAGTGAAAGAAAGTCTTATTCTCCCATCTTCTACCTTATCTTGGTCTCCACTGCTGCCCTATCTGTAGGCCTAGGGAAAATATGTTTCTAACTAAATCTCTGTATTTAATATACCGTCTTCTACTTCATCTTTCTCCACTGCTGTGTTATCTTTAGTCATTGGCCCTAAATGCATAAGAAGCATCCTCTGTAATAAAAACACCAGTATTAAACAGTTTGAGAGACAGACACATGTATTGTCCCAGGCACATATATATATTTGTGGTTTAAAGGAAGATAACAGCGAAATATAATTTTTAAAAATTACCATTTGAAGAAAGTATTATGGAAAAAATATTCAGAGGAATATAACTGTAACGAAAGCTTACTTTTACTTATTGTTGCAATAAATAAAGAAATGCACAGTAACCTTGGCCGCCAGTGTGACTGTTAAATTAAACATTGTAGTCATAATGACAAATGAAAATTTAACCTGTGTATCGGTTGCCATTTGAGAGAAGTAAATACTTCATTTATAATAAACGCACAAATTACAGAAAGGGTTTGTGATATATATAAGCATTAAAATGGAATACATTCTCTGGGGCTGGAAAAACCACATCTGTAAGGTGACATATCATAACTCCATGACCTCTATCACTGAGGCTTAGAGGTAAATTAACATCAGCTTGGCTGAAAAAAGCTATTAGGGTCATAAGAGACCCCCCCCCCCCCCCCCCCCCATTAGAAAAATGGGGTTTTGTGTGTGCGTGAGCGTGTGTACTTGCGCCTGTGTGTGTGTGTGTATATTTGTTGATGTTACAGAATGCTTATTTTTAGTGCATATTTTAAAAATGCTGTTTTTCTCAATGATTCTAATGAAAACTTTATAGAATGTTAATTTATCATTAATTTTACTGTATATTTTACAGAATGCTCAGGCAATCATCAATCTTAATGTATTGTTGCAAGAGAAAGAGAGGGAAATTCATCGCAAAGAATCTGTGTGAGTATCTATCAGATATTCTTCTTCCTTCTGTAGCAATGCTGTCTTTTTTGTGTATGTTGATGTGACACCCAGGCTCATATTTTGTTTGCTGCAGAAGGAGTCCATTGAAGAATATAGATGAGGAGAAAGATGGTCGGGTTGACAGTGGTGATAAAAATGATGGTCTCTCATGTTTAGTACATGCTTCTCACTTCACTTGATGCTTAATCCTAGACTCTGACATCTCAATACTGTTTCTATCTAATGTTTCTTTGTTGACCATGGATCCATGTATCTTGTCTATTGTCTCTTTAGTTTAATGTTTCGTTCATGGGGAAAATTTGACATCAGTTTGGATTTCAAAAAGCCTTTGTGGTTATGAGAAACCCACCCCCCCCCCCCCCCCTTCCCCCATGTTATTTTCTGTTACTCTTATATTCATATCATGGCCTATTAAAGATGGCTCAGATCAGTATAGAAATAATGATATTTTGGCATTAACTGGGCTGTGTCACAACCAGAAGTGTCTAGATTTGGTCTTCTTGGGACGATAAGGTTAAATAGACTTAAATATCTTAGGAACACTTAGATGTCTAGATATGCTTGGATGTATAGACTTAAATGTTTTAGGTATACTTAGATGTCTGGATATGTGTAGATAGACTTAAATGTCTTAGGAACACTTAGATGTCTGGATATGTTTGGATGTATAGACTTTAATGTCTTAGGAACACTTAGATGTCTGGATATGCTTAGATGTCTAGATATACTTAAATGTATTAGGTATACTTAGATGTCTGGGTATGTCTAGATAGACTTAAATGTCTTAGGAACACTTAGATGTCTGGATATGTTTGGATGTATAGATATACTTTAATGTCTAAGGTAGACCTAGATGTCTGGTTATGCTTAGATGTCTAGATAGACCTAAATGTCTTAGGTAGACTTAGATGTCTGGATATGTTTAGATAGACTTAAATGTTTTAGGTAGACCTAGATGTCTGGAGGGAGTCACAGTGGCCGAGCAGCTAGACGCTCGTCGCAGATCGGAAGGTCGTGGGTTTGCTCCCTGGCGGAGACTGGTTGGGTATTCAGGATTGTGTCCTGGATGGGAAGTGTTTCAATGGGTTCTAATGGCTGCCTAATCTGAGTTTTATTTTTCCAACTGTAATTAGGTTATCGGAAGCCATGGCAAACATCTCTGCCCTCCAGCAAGAGAAGAGAACCCTGCAGGCAATAGTTACTGAGCTAGAGGAAGCAAATCAGACATTGAAAGATGAACACCAGGCACTGCAGGTTAGTGTTTGTTTTGTATTGTTGATGATGGTTTTTTATGCATTCACCCTCTCAAGTCATTCTTCTCTTCCCAACACTTCAGTGACGTCACTAGAGGAAGATGAGGAAGACCCATTTTTATGATGTGGATTGCTACCTTGTTTTTAATTCATTGTCCTGTTTGACTGTTATGTGTCACATAGAGCTCGCCTCCCCGTCAGCAGATGACAAGTTACCTGTAATTTTATTTAGCTAGTCTTCTTTTTCTTAGTTTTATCTGGTGGTAAACTCTAGTGGGGTTAACTGGTGGTAAACTCTAGTGGGGTTAACTGGTGGTAAACTCTAGTGGGGTTAACTGGTGGTAAACTCTGGTGGGGTTAACTGGTGGTAAACTCTGGCAGTGTTAACTGGTGATAAACTCTGGCAGTGTTAACTGGTGGTAAACTCTGGCAGTGTTAACTGGTGGCAAACTCTGGCAGTGTTAACTGGTGATAAACTCTGGCAGTATTAACTGGTGATAAACTCTGGCAGCGTTAACTGGTGATAAACTCTGGCAGTGTTAATTGGTGGTAAACTCTGGCAGTGTTAACTGGTGGTAAACTCTGGCAGTGTTAACTGGTGGTAAACTCTGGCAGTGTTAACTGGTGGTAAACTCTGGCAGTGTTAACTGGTGGTAAACTCTGGCAGTGTTAACTGGTGGTAAACTCTGGCAGCATTAACTGGTGGCAAACTCTGGCAGTGTTAACTGGTGGCAAACTCTGGCAGTGTTAACTGGTGCCAAACTCTGGCAGCGTTATCTGGTGGCAAACTGGCAGTGTCAACTGGTGGCAAACTGGCAGTGTCAACTGGTGGCAAACTCTGGCAGTGTTAACTGGTGGTAAACTCTGGCAGTGGGGTTAACTGGTGGTAAACTCTGGCAGTTTTAACTGGTGGCAAACTCTGGCAGTGTTATCTGGTGCCAAACTCTGGCAGTGTTAACTGGTGGCAAACTCTGGCAGTGTTAACTGGTGGCAAACTCTGGCAGTGTTAACTGGTGGTAAACTCTAGTGGGGTTAACTGGTGGTAAACTCTGGCAGTGTTAACTGGTGGCAAACTCTGGCAGTGTTAACTGGTGGTAAACTCTGGCAGTGTTAACTGGTGGTAAACTCTGGCAGTGTTAACTGGTGATAAACTCTGGCAGTATTAACTGGTGATAAACTCTGGCAGCGTTAACTGGTGATAAACTCTGGCAGTGTTAATTGGTGGCAAAACTCTGGCAGTGTTAACTCGTGGTAAACTCTGGCAGTGTTAACTGGTGGTAAACAGTGTTAACTGGTGGTAAACTCTGGCAGTGTTAACTGGTGGTAAACTCTGGCAGTGTTAACTGGTGGTAAACTCTGGCAGTGTTAACTGGTGGCAAACTCTAGCAGTGTTAACTGGTGGCAAACTCTGGCAGTGTTAACTGGTGGTAAACTCTGGCAGTGTTAACTGGTGGCAAACTCTGGCAGTGTTAACTGGTGGCAAACTCTGGCAGTGTTAACTGGTGGCAAACTCTGGCAGTGTTAACTGGTGGTAAACTCTAGTGGGGTTAACTGGTGGTAAACTCTGGCAGTTTTAACTGGTAGCAAACTCTGGCAGCATTATCTGGTGCCAAACTCTGGCAGTGTTAACTGGTGGCAAACTCTGGCAGTGTTAACTGGTGGTAAACTCTAGTGGGGTTAACTGGTGGTAAACTCTGGCAGTGTTAACTGGTGGCAAACTCTGGCAGTGTTAACTGGTGGTAAACTCTGGCAGTGTTAACTGGTGGTAAACTCTGGCAGTGTTAACTGGTGATAAACTCTGGCAGTATTAACTGGTGATAAACTCTGGCAGCGTTAACTGGTGATAAACTCTGGCAGTGTTAATTGGTGGTAAACTCTGGCAGTGTTAACTCGTGGTAAACTCTGACAGTGTTAACTGGTGGTAAACTCTGGCAATGTTAACTGGTGGTAAACTCTGGCAGCGTTAACTGGTGGTAAACTCTGGCAGCATTAACTGGTGGCAAACTCTAGCAGCATTAACTGGTGGCAAACTCTGGCAGTGTTAACTGGTGCCAAACTCTGGCAGCGTTATCTGGTGGCAAACTGGCAGTGTCAACTGGTGGCAAACTGGCAGTGTCAACTGGTGGCAAACTCTGGCAGTGTCAACTGGTGGTAAACTCTGGCATTGTTAACTGGTGGCAAACTCTGGCAGTTTTAACTGGTGGCAAACTCTGGCACTGATGGTATCTGGTGCCAAACTGGTGGTAAACTCTAGCAGTGTTAACTGATGGTAAACTCTGGCAGTGTTAACTGATGGTAAACTCTAGTGGGGTTAACTGATGGTAAACTCTGGCAGTGTTAACTGGTGGTAAACTCTGGCAGTGTTAACTGATGGTAAACTCTGGCAGTGTTAACTGGTGGTAAACTCTGGGGGCAGAAACTCTGGAGTGTTTGTAAACTCTAGTGGGTTAACTTCTAAACTTAGTGTTGTTTCCTGATGGGTCTAGGTGTTGCTGATGGCTCAGCAGTGTCACAGATGGGCCTAGTTTAACTGATGGCAGACTCTAAGTTAAACTTGCAGTTTCAGTCAGATGTATTCTGGACATTGAAGGAATTCCCCAATTAGTGTTAACTTCTGTGACATGCTTGTTGAGCAACAGTGGTTCTATTCTTGTTCTCCTCACAATGGGAGCCCAGAACCTGATGGTGAAGTTTAATCTAGTGAAGGCTGCATCATTACATCTGGCAGCGTGTTTAACTGGTGGTAAACATGAGTTCTGTTTCAGATTAAACTAGATGCTCTTGTAAACTCTAAACTGATGTAAATGTGTGAGATTTCTCAACTGTGCTTATCATTAGGGTCATGGATTAGAGGCAACTTAGTTAGTTAGTTAGTTAGTTGGGGTCCGGGGGTTAACATAGGTGCTCAGATCCTCCCCTCAGTATGAACCCCAACGTCGATGGCTAATAGTACCAGTTCTATGTTGATTAACAAGTCTTCTGTGTAGCTGGTGTGCGTCTCGTTTTTGCTGGTGCCGATCTTAATTCCAAGTCTGCCATTCTGTAAAGTGATGTGGATTCACTGCCACCAAAGTCGTCTATCCTTCCATTTCTCTGAGGGCATTGATAATATCAGCATGTGTCCATAGGGTGACCGTCGGTAGTTATAGCTGATCCAGCCAACCTGTCAGTGTTCATTTCCATCGACGCCTGCGTGTCCCGGAACAAAAATAAAGGTGACTCCACGGACAGTGGACTTCTGTAATGATTCAAGGTGTCTTCGCACTGAAACCTGCCTGAACAGTGGAACATACTCATTGAATCACTGGAGTATACACACTCTGGTGTGTTTTTGTGGTTTCAAGCCAGGCAAGCGCTCTGTGTTCACTGCCATCACTCTCCATCGTCATGGTGGTAAACTCTGGCAGTGTTAACTGGTGGTAAACTCTGGCAGTGTTAACTGGTGGTAAACTCTGGCAGTGTTAACTGGTGGTAAACTCTGGCAGTGTTAACTGGTGGTAAACTCTGGCAGTGTTAACTGGTGGTAAACTCTGGCAGTGTTAACTGGTGGCAAACTCTGGCAGTGTTAACTGGTGGCAAACTCTGGCAGTGTTAACTGGTGGTAAACTCTGGCAGTGTTAACTGGTGGTAAACTCTGGCAGTGTTAACTGGTGCCAAACTCTGGCAAACTAACTGGTAAACAGGCAGTGTTAACTGGTGGCAAACTCTGGCAGTGTTAACTGGTGGTAAACTCTGGCAGTGTTAACTGGTGGTAAACTCTAGTGGGGTTAACTGGTGGTAAACTCTGGCAGAAAGTTCTGAGTGTTCGTCCACTTCCAGACTTTAGTGTTGTTCCAGAGTCTGGGTGTTGCATGCACAGCTGTTTCACAGTTCTGGCTTTTTTTGTATGCAGACTCTAAGTTTCTTGCCTTTCAGTCAGATGTATTTTGAGATTGAAGGAAGTCCCTAATTAGTTGACTTCTTTGACATGCTTGTTGGTCAGGCAGTGGTTCTACTCTTGTTCTCCCCACAATGGGAGCCCAGAACCCACACGGGAAGTTTAGCTAGTGAAGGCTGCATCATTACATCAGCAGCGTGCATTCAAGAGTGAACATGAGTTCTGTTTTAGACTTAGATAGATGCTCTTGAAACAGTTGAATGTGTGAGATTTCTCAACTGTGCTTATCATTAGGGTCATGGATTAGAGGCAACTATGGTGGTCTAGCGGCTAGATTCTCACCTGTGCATCCAAAGGTTGTGGGTTCAGTTCCTGGCAGGGCTGAGCTTTTATTTCGTAAATGAAATTGGCTTCCAGGTTGACATAGCCTTAAATGAGTACCAGGTAAAGTTATGGGAAGTAAAGGTGGCCAGCATAATGTTGACCGCATCATCCACCAAGGGCCGATCGGTGTTTACAATATAGATTTAGCCCTCTGTGCCCAATGCGCCTGAAGATGTGGAAAAGAGGGTTTTACTATTTTGTTATTTCATTTTTGTAGCTTTGGTGGATTAGAGATTGGAATTGTGGTTTTGACTAGAGTAATGGGTTCATACTGTGGTAATCATTTATATATAAAGATATATCTGGGAGTGTCAGGCTCTATGTTGTCATTTTCTTTACAGATGGCTTATGTCAGACTGGTTGTCATTTTCTTTACAGATGGCTTATATCAGACCCTGGTTGTCATTCTCTTTACAGATGGCTTATGTCAGACCCTGGTTGTCATTCTCTTTACAGATGGCTTATGTCAGACCCTGGTTGTCATTCTCTTTACAGAAGACTTATGTCAGACCCTGGTTGTCATTTTCTTTACAGATGGCTTATATCAGACTGGTTGTCATTTTCTTTACAGATGGCTTATGTCAGACTGGTTGTCATTTTCTTTACAGATGGCTTATATCAGACCCTGGTTGTCATTTTCTTTACAGATAGCTTATGTCAGACCCTGGTTGTCATTTTCTTTACAGATGGCTTATATCAGACTCTGGTTGTCATTTTCTTTACAGATGGCTTATATCAGACCCTGGTTGTCATTTTCTTTACAGATGGCTTATGTCAGACCCTGGTTGTCATTCTCTTTACAGAAGACTTATGTCAGACCCTGGTTGTCATTTTCTTTACAGATGGCTTATGTCAGACCCTGGTTGTCATTTTCTTTACAGATGGCTTATATCAGACCCTGGTTGTCATTTTCTTTACAGATGGCTTATGTCAGACCCTGGTTGTCATTTTCTTTACAGATGTCTTATATCAGACCCTGGTTGTCATTTTCTTTACAGATGGCTTATATCAGACTCTGGTTGTCATTTTCTTTACAGATGGCTTATGTCAGACCCTGGTTGTCATTCTCTTTACAGATGGCTTATGTCAGACCCTGGTTGTCATTCTCTTTACAGATGGCTTATGTCAGACCCTGGTTGTCATTCTCTTTACAGAAGACTTATGTCAGACTGGTTGTCATTTTCTTTACAGATGGCTTATGTCAGACCCTGGTTGTCATTTCCTTTACAGATGGCTTATATCAGACTCTGGTTGTCATTTACTTTACAGATGGCTTATATCAGACCCTGGTTGTCATTTACTTTACAGATGGCTTATGTCAGACCCTGGTTGTCATTTACTTTACAGATGGCTTATATCAGACTCTGGTTGTCATTTACTTTACAGATGGCTGATGTCAGACTCTGGTTGTCATTTCCTTTACAGATGGCTTATAGCAGACTCTGGTTGTCATTTACTTTACAGATAGCTTATATCAGACTCTGGTTGTCATTTTCTTTACAGATGGCTTATATCAGACTCTGGTTGTCATTTCCTTTACAGATGGCTTATGTCAGACTCTGGTTGTCATTTACTTTACAGATGGCTTATATCAGACTCTGGTTGTCATTTTCTTTACAGATGGCTCATGTCAGACTCTGGTTGTCATTTACTTTACAGATGGCTTATGTCAGACTCTGGTTGTCATTTACTTTACAGATGGCTTATATCAGACTCTGGTTGTCATTTTCTTTACAGATGGCTTATGTCAGACTCTGGTTGTCATTTCCTTTACAGATGGCTTATATCAGACTGGTTGTCATTTCCTTTACAGATGTCTTAAGTCAGACTCTGGTTGTCATTTCCTTTACAGATGGCTTATATCAGACTCTGGTTGTCATTTACTTTACAGATGGCTTATATTAGACTCTGGTTGTCATTTTCTTTACAGATGGCCTATGTCAGACTCTGGTTGTCATTTCCTTTACAGATGGCTTATGTCAGACTCTGGTTGTCATTTCCTTTACAGATGGCTTATATCAGACCCTGGTTGTCATTCTCTTTACAGATGGCTTATGTCAGACTGGTTGTTATTCTCTTTACAGATGGCTTATGTCAGACTGGTTGTCATTCTCTTTACAGATAGCTTATGTCAGACTGGTTGTCATTTTCTTTACAGATGGCTTATATCAGACCCTGGTTGTCATTTTCTTTACAGATGGCTTATGTCAGACTGGTTGTCATTCTCTTTACAGATGGCTTATATCAGACTGGTTGTCATTCTCTTTACAGATGGCTTATGTGAGACTGGTTGTCATTCTCTTTACAGATGGCTTATGTCAGACTGGTTGTCATTTCCTTTACAGATGGCTTATATCAGACCCTGGTTGTCATTTTCTTTACAGATGGCTTTCACAGCTCAAGAAGAAAAATATAGAAAAGCACAAGAAGATAACAGTGAACTTGTACAAAGATGGATGGAGCTGAAAGCAAGAGAAGCTGATAGATGGAATGCTGAAAATGCAGATTTTATAAGGTACATGGGCAACAATAATTTTGTTTTGGGGTCTCAAACATTGAACTGTCTGTGATCATCGGCTGTCCATGTATATTAACCCCTTTGCTCCGAGGAACCTAACTCTAGTCACTGTCACTTTTGCCAATAAATGCTAATGTATGGCCTTGTCAGCAGTGACCTGTTGTCTAATTTGTTTGTCTATGTTTAGTGTAAAGGTCTCTTTTCCACGCCTGTAGGCATATAGGGCTAGACCTATACTTTTATAGACCAATCTGCACAAGATGGGTGATGTGGTCAGCATCACACCGACAGCCTTTACTTCCCAGGACTGCACCAAGTACCCATTCTAGATTTGGTTAACTTTGGAGTCAAGGTCATTTTTGAAAAAAGTATGGCTCTGCCAGGGAGCGAACCCATGACCTTCCGATGCGCATGCAAGCGTCCAACCCCTATGCCATGGCAACTCTCATTTTAAATGTATTTATATTTAACAAAAAATAAAAATTTTAATGTCGAAAGATATATATACACAAAAACTTGGTGTCACCAGCTGGAAAGAGAAGGTTAACCAGAGAGAAGAATTGAAGCAGGTGATATCTGCAGCAATGAACCTCAAGGGCTGAGAGTACTAAAGAAGAAGATAAAGATATTAAAAGGGGTAGTCAGTTAATTGAACCGGAGTGAAGCATTAAATGGAATACATTCCCCAGGTGTTAAAGAACAAGAATATATCAGATGACTTATGCCGTGACCCCATAACCTCTATCACTGGTGCTTACAGGAAAATGTAACATTAACTTGGCATTCAGAAACCCAATGGGTTCATAAGAAAGCTCCCCTAAATGCAGTTATTGTATAGGATAAGTGGGATTTCACTACACTTTTCAAGAACAAATCACTGCAGACATGGCCATTGTGGACATTTGACAGGACCATGTCACAACCGGAAGGGACTAGATTTGATCAGCTCGGGGCCACAGGGTTGAAGCTTTTTTTGATCATGGGGAAGGCAGAGAGATCAATACCTGGATTGATCAGCAAAATCTGATGATTATTTGAGATGGCGAAACATGACTGCCTTTGCTTATCAGCATTGGTCAGTATGGTAGATAGGTAGACTTACTGTTTTTAGTCATGGTACATTTTTTGCTTCTGACTATAGACATTGCATTTTCATCCATTTCTAGACTGAAAGGATGTAGTTTCATCACCCAGATTACTGAGTAGTGTGTATGGTGTGACACTGTGCGCTGTTTTTGAATTTGTATTGTGAAAAACAGATTCAGAAAATGGCAAGTTGCCTGTTGCCAGAGAACTGTTGGTGCCTTATGGAATTAACTAATTTATGTGCAGCTTATGATCCTTGTAACTCCTGCTTCCATCAATTTCTAGTGTTGGATTTTGTGTTGGCACTTCTGATAGCTGTCTTATGAATGTAATGTCTATGTCAGTGATTCTCAAACTGTGCGCCGCGTCGCCCGAGGAGCCGCGACCTCTTCACAGGGGCGCCATCAACTATTCCAAGATACACAAGTTTTTTGTTTTGTTTTTGTCTTACATACGAATAGTCATACTTTCACTTAGGTTAGGGCACTGTGGAAAAATTTTAATTGAAAATAGGCGCCGAGGCTAAAAAGAAATGTTTGAAAAACACTGGCGTATGCTATTGGCTTTGCAGAGACTGCAGTCTGTGTTTTTTTTCACAAGGGTCGGTGTTAGACATTCTTTGTGGTTTTCTTTGGCACAGGAACGGAGCAGCTGTGGGGTGATCCATTTACTGTTAAGTTGGAACTGTGTTTACTCGACTATCAGCAAGATAATGATGATGATGACATATCTTGTAACTCTTGATGATTATTTTTATTGTTCGTTTATGTTTTCATTGTTAGTTTATGACTTTCCCTGTACAGAACCAAGCAGAAAATGTTAGCCCAGAATCTGGAAGAAGCTGCCAGGGAACAGATTCCTATAGACACCAGGTGAGGAAGAACCCAGCCATTATTATTGCTTTAGGGATTCTCTGAAAGTAAAATGCATACAGTTTAATCAGTTAGGTGCCATCTCCATCGGGAAGGTTGACTGCACTGGATCTCCAACACGTTCTGCCTCTTATCTTGGTTGTACAATCTCTTCGCCTGCTGTTTGTCCATCTCTTGATGTTGTCCTCTCACTTGTATAGTTACCCATCTCTTGCCCTCCAGCTTTCCCTCCAGTACAGTTTTTAACAAAGCAGAAGGCTGTGGGATAGACATCACTACCAACACCTCATGGAATGGACTATAAGAAGAAGAAGAAGACAGGAGACAGAAGGTTGTGGATAGACATGACTACCAACACCTCATGGCTTGGACTATAGGAAGAAGAAGACAGGAGACAGAAGGTTGTGGATAGACATGACTACCAACACCTCATGGAATGGACTATAAGAAGAAGAAGAAGACAGGAGACAGAAGGTTGTGGATAGACATGACTACCAACACCTCATGGAATGGACTATAAGAAGAAGAAGAAGACAGGAGACAGAAGGTTGTGGATAGACATGACTACCAACACCTCATGGAATGGACTATAAGAAGAAGAAGAAGACAGGAGACAGAAGGTTGTGGATAGACATGACTACCAACACCTCATGGAATGGACTATAAGAAGAAGAAGAAGACAGGAGACAGAAGGTTGTGGATAGACATGACTACCAACACCTCATGGAATGGACTATAAGAAGAAGAAGAAGACAGGAGACAGAAGGTTGTGGATAGACATGACTACCAACACCTCATGGAATGGACTATAAGAAGAAGAAGAAGACAGGAGACAGAAGGTTGTGGATAGACATGACTACCAACACCTCATGGAATGGACTATAAGAAGAAGAAGAAGACAGGAGACAGAAGGTTGTGGATAGACATGACTACCTACACCTCATGGGATGGACTATAAGAAGAAGAAGAAGACAGGAGACAGAAGGTTGTGGATAGACATGACTACCAACACTTCATGGCTTGGACTATAGGAAGAAGAAGACAGGAGACAGAAGGTTGTGGATAGACATGACTACCAACACTTCATGGCTTGGACTATAGGAAGAAGAAGACAGGAGACAGAAGGTTGTGGATAGACATGACTACCAACACTTCATGGCTTGGACTATAGGAAGAAGAAGAAGACAGGAGACAGAAGGTTGTGGATAGACATGACTACCAACACCTCATGGAATGGACTATAAGAAGAAGAAGAAGACAGGAGACAGGTGCCCAAGAGGCTCCGGATCTGCCCAAGAGGCATCGGACAATAACTGCACACAAATAGACCAGTAAAGTGGATGTACATACAAAACTCAGGTCCTGGTACAAAACCAAACTCCATACGGACTAACAGCCAGGAGTTTCTGCAGGAATCCACAGCCCGGGAATGCAGAGAAGAAGAAGATGTGTTGTAGTTGACAACTAATGGAGGTGGGGGGCTAGTTGGTCTTTTCTTTGTTCCCCTTAGGGGCCCCCGGATCCCTCATGTGGAATGTGCATGGATAATTAATAATTAGGGTTATACCTCTTCAGAAATGATGCCTATCTATGTCTTTATTTCTTTCACAGTAAATGAGCTCTGGATTTTATTGTCCCTGTTGTGTGTGCTGAAGTTTCTGTGCCTACCACAGCCCAGTTCAAGTTTGTATGTTATTTTTCTATTTATTGTTATGTTAAGGTATCTTTTTCTTCAGCATTCAAAGCCCTAGAGGTTCGTTGCTGCATTCATCAACCGCTCCCACTCATCTCTCTGGTTGGCTCTCTCTTGGTGTGTGTGTGTGTTTGTAGGTTTTTTGTGTGTGTGGCTGCATGTGTTTTGTGTGTGTGTGTATGTGTCTGGGTTGTTTACATGTGTGTCTTAGAGTGTGTGTTTGTGAGAGTGTGTCTGTGTGTGTGACTGTATTTGAGTGTGTGTATGCATGTATATATGTAACATAAACATGTATGTACGCATGTATGTATGTGTGTGTATGTATGTATGAATGTGTATGTATGTGTGTATTGGGTGCCTGTATGTGTGTGTGTGTCAGTGAGTGAATAGGTTTGTGGATGTGTGTGCGCACATGCATGTTACCACCCATGCTTTTGTTTTATTGACTTGATATTCATAACATGAATATTTTCACATGAACATTGTCTTCTTGGTCTGACTCATAGTTCAGTGTCTTGTGTATACAGTTTTTACCTCTCTGTCAGTTGACATTCTTTCAGTCTGCCCCAGCTATTTCAGTGTTAACCCTCATGATGCCAGTGATCAGGGGTAATTTAAACAGATTTTGAATTCCTTATTGCTTCTCATTATCCTTTCCCAGCTGTTTGCACATTTGATGGGTCCAAAGATTAGTTTTGAGTATAGTTGTAATATTTATAAAAAGACAAATGTACTCAAGACTCCAATAACATATAAAGCACTAGAGACAAATAACAAATAAAGCAGAAGTAACACTAAAGACAAATAACAGATCAAGCAGAAGTAACACCAGAGACAAATAACAGATCAAGCAGAATTAACAATAGAGATGAATAACAGATCAAGCAGAAGTAACACTAAAGACAAATAACAGATCAAGCAGAAGTAACACTAGAGACAAATAACAGATCAAGCAGAAGTAACACTAGAGACAAATAACAGATCAAGCAGAAGTAACACTAGAGACAAATAACAGATTGAGCAGAAGTATCATAAGAGACAAATAACAGATCAAGCAGAAGTAACACTAGAGACAAATAACAGATCGAGCAGAAATAACACAAGAGACAAACAACAAATCAAGCAGAAGTAACACAAGAGACAAATAACAAATCAAGCAGAAGTAACACTAGAGACAGAACAGATCAAGCAGAAGTAACACTAGAGACAAACAAAAGATCAATCAGAAGTAACACTAGAGACAAATAACAGATCAAGCAGAAGTAACACAAGAGACAAATAACAGATCAAGCAGAAGTAACACCAGAGACATATAACAGATCAAGCAGAAGTAACACAAGAGACAAACAACAGATCAAGCAGAAGTAACACTAGAGACAAGTAACAGATCAAGCAGAAGTAACACAAGAGACAAATAACAGATCAAGCAGAAGTAACACCAGAGACATATAACAAATCAAGCAGAAGTAACACAAGAGACAAATAACAAATCAAGCAGAAGTAACACAAGAGACAAATAACAGATCAAGCAGAAGTAACACTATAGACAAATAACAGATCAAGCAGAACGAACGAACGAACTTTATTTTCAAAGGGTTACAAATTAGGCACGCAGGCCTGTCTTACATTCGGCCCTTCCAACTTCCATCTTTCACACAGCAGTTGTATTTCATCAATGAAGCATGTTATATTCATGTAATGAAATGCATATTATGGATATGAAGTCAAAAACAAAAGCATGGGTGGTAAAATATGTGCTCACGCGCGAACACACACACCCACAAGCCCAATCACTCACTTACACACAAACACATAGACACCCAGTACACACATACATCCACATGCACACATACATACATACATACATACATACATACATACATACATACATACATACATACATACATACATACATACATACATACATACATACATACATACATACATACATACATACATACATACATACATACATACATACATACATACATACATACATACATACATACATACATACATACATACATACATACATACATACATACATACATACATACATACATACATACATACATACATACATACATACATACATACATACATACATACATACATACATACATACATACATACATACATACATACATACATACATACATACATACATACATACATACATACATACATACATACATACATACATACATACATACATACATACATACATACATACATACATACATACATACATACATACATACATACATACATACATACATACATACATACATACATACATACATACATACATACATACATACATACATACATACATACATACATACATACATACATACATACATACATACATACATACATACATACATACATACATACATACACACACACACACACACACAAACACATACATACACACACACACAAACACATACATACATACAAACTCACATACATACATACATGCATACAAAAATACATACATACGTACACACGCTCTAAAACACAAATAACAGATCAAGCAGAAGTAACACAAGAGACAAACAACAGATCAAGCAGAAGTAACACTAGAGACAAACAACAGATCAAGCAGAAGTAACACTAGAGACAAACAACAGATCAAGCGGAAGTAACACAAGAGACAAACAACAGATCAAGCGGAAGTAACACTAGAGACAAACAACAGATCAAGCGGAAGTAACACTAGAGACAAACAACAGATCAAGCGGAAGTAACACTAGAGACAAACAACAGATCAAGCGGAAGTAACACAAGAGACAAACAACAGATCAAGCGGAAGTAACACTAGAGACAAACAACAGATCAAGCGGAAGTAACACTAGAGACAAACAACAGATCAAGCAGAAGTAACACTAGAGACAAATAACAGATCAAGCAGAAGTAACACTAGAGACAAACAGAACTAAAGTAACAGATCAATTTACTTATTTAGATACAAATATTGGTAGTCAAGGAAATGGTATAATGCACATTAGCAAGGTGTCAGCAGTTGTTGAAAGCCTGAACTAAATGTGGAAATCTGAAAGATGTTGTAGTTGGTTCTGCAGTGTCCTGTCAAGGAAACACATTTTGACACACATTAGCAAGGTGTCGGCAGTTGTTGAAAGCCTGAACTAAATGTGGAACTTTGAAAGATGTTTTAGTTGGTTCTGCAGTGTCCTGTCAAGGAAACACATTTTGACACACATTAGCAAGGTGTCAGCAGTTGTTGAAAGTGTGAACTAAATGTGGAACTCTGAAAGATGTTGTAGTTGGTTCTGCAGTGTCCTGTCAAGGATATTAAGCTAACTCATGCACCCATAGATCTTCCAGAGCTGGGTTTTTTTTTTTAAACGAATATTTGGAAATTAATATTAATTCAGAAAACTAAACACTACTGGAATAATTGCAAATTAATTTAATTAAGAAAACTATTAAAAACTACTGGAACAATTGGAAATTTTTTAAATTAATTTTAAAAAACTAAAACTACTGGAATAATTTGAAATTAATTAAAATTAATTAAGAAAACTAAAACCTACTGGAATGATTGGGGAAGATTATAAAATTTCTTTGTTAGCTGAGAACATTTAGAAAAGTTACTATATTTTTTTCCTCTATCAGGTATGTTTTCCCAAGGTTTAAGTTTAAAATGGAGGATCATCTTACACTCAAAATGTGATTAAAACAGCTGTTTCTTAATTTTGGGCTAAATAAAATAGCTGTTGTCTTGTATATGGAAACTTGGGTGTATTGATGGTAGTCTAATTTTAAACTAATCATTTTGCTTATTTGTATCAGTTTCTCCAAACTGTTGGTACCAGTGGTCAGTCGAATTAGTTATAATTCAATACATGATATGTTCCTTAGTACCCAGTGCTCTTAAAAAGAGGATATAACGTAGTCAGACGATTAGTGAAAGTTTATCTGCAAGCTGCAGTGTTGTGGTTTTATAGACAATGATAAGAGATGTGGTTTTATAGACAATGATGAGAGATGTAGTTTTATAGACAAATGGTGAGAGATGTGGATTTATAGATAATGATGAGAGATGTGGTTTTATAGACAATGATGAGAGATGTGGTTTTATAGACAAATGGTGAGAGATGTGGATTTATAGATAATGATGAGAGATGTGGTTTTATAGATAATGATGAGAGATGTGGTTTTATAGACAAATGATGAGAGATGTGGTTTTATAGATAATGATGAGAGATGTGGTTTTATAGACAATGATGAGAGATGTGGTTTTATAGACAATGATGAGAGATGTGGTTTTATAGATAATGATGAGAGATGTGGTTTTATAGATAATGATGAGAGATGTGGTTTTATAGACAAATGATGAGAGATGTGGTTTTATAGATAATGATGAGAGATGTGGTTTTATAGATAATGATGAGAGATGTGGTTTTATAGACAATGATGAGAGATGTGTTTTTATAGACAATGATGAGAGATGTGGTTTTATAGACAATGATGAGAGATGTGGTTTTATAGACAATGATGAGAGATGTGGTTTTATAGACAAATGATGAGAGATGTGGTTTTATAGATAATGATGAGAGATGTGGTTTTATAGATAATGATGAGAGATGTGGTTTTATAGATAATGATGAGAGATGTGGTTTTATAGACAAATGATGAGAGATGTGGTTTTATAGATAATGATGAGAGATGTGGTTTTATAGATAATGATGAGAGATGTGGTTTTATAGACAAATGATGAGAGAAGTGGTTTTATAGACAAATGATGAGAGATGTGGTTTTATAGACAAATGATGAGAGATGTGGTTTTATAGATAATGATGAGAGATGTGGTTTTATAGATAATGATGAGCGATGTGGTTTTATAGACAAATGATGAGAGATGTAGTTTTATAGACAATGATGAGAGATGTGTTTTTATAGACAATGATGAGAGCTGTGGTTTCATAGACAATGATGAGAGATGTGGTTTTATAGACAATGATGAGAGATATGGTTTTATAGACAAATGATGAGAGATGTGGTTTTATAGACAATGATGAGAGATGTGGTTTTATAGACAAAGGATGAGAGATGTGGTTTTATATACAAATAATGAGAATACCATGGACATATAAAAAAGAGAAATGAAGGTGTCTTGGAAGAAACTGACTCAGGAGAGTCCTGATTGCCAAGAGATAATCTACATTCTTTGGTTATGAGAAGGATGTAACGGCGGTCATTAAAATGGAACATTTGTAGGGGAAGAGAGGCAGAGGGAGACCAAGAGAGAAGATGCTCAACAGTTTCCTGTCATGGCATTGAAAATCATCTGTGGCAGAATTGATTTAAGGTCACAAGACAGAAGGTTGTGGATAGACATGGCTACCAGTGCCATATTGCATGGACTGTAAGGAGATTACCCGCTTGTCTTTTCATTTGTTTATTGAATAGCATATAATGAGACAGTATGTTTGTTTTTTAATTATAATCTTTTATTCAGTTTTGTTTTGTTTGTTTGTTAGGATGCCCATGATGGAGAGGTGTATTCCATTCAGTGGAATTATTCTGGTGGATTGTTTGCCACTGGAGGTGCCGACAGAAAAATCAAGCTCTGGGAGATCCATGGAGGTATAAGTTATGAGTTGGGTCTTCACTGCACTCCAGACACATCCATGGATGCTCAGATTCCTCCTTCAACATATACATCAGCCTTCCGTGGTTAATAGTGTCAGTCCTATGATGGTTGACAAGACTGCTTGTATGTCCAGTGTGCCTCACGTGCCTGGCTCTGCCAATCTTTACTCCCAGCTCTCGTATTCTTAGCAATGATGTGGACATACTGCTCCCAGAGTCCTCTGATCTGTCTGTCTCTCTGTGGGCATTAACATTGTCAGCATGAGCTGTGGTCCAATCATCTGCAGCTAAGGCAGAACCAGCCAATCTATCAGCTCTTTCATGCCATTGCTATGGAGATAATATCTACTCTTGCAGTTGCCACTGCTCATATTACCACTGTTCATATTGCCACTGCTCATATTACCACTGCTCATATTACCACTGTTCCCATATTACCACTGTTCATATTACCACTGCTCATATTACCACTGTTCATATTACCACTGCTCATATTACCACTGTTCATATTACCACTGCTCATATTACCACTGTTCATATTACCACTGCTCATATTACCACTGCTCATATTACCACTGCTCATATTACCACTGCTCATATTACCACTGCTCATATTGCCACTGCTCATATTACCACTGCTCATATTACCACTGCTCATATTACCACTGCTCATATTACCACTGCTCATATTACCACTGCTCATATTACCACTGCTCCACCACTGCTCATATTACCACTGCTCATACCACTGCTCATTACCACTGCTCATATTACCACTGCTCATATTACCACTGCTCATATTACCACTGCTCATATTACCACTGCTCATATTACCACTGCTCATATTACCACTGCTCATATTACCACTGCTCATATTACCACTGCTCATATTACCACTGCTCATATTACCACTGCTCATATTACCACTGTTCATATTACCACTGTTCATATTACCACTGTTCATATTACCACTGTTCATATTACCACTGTTCATATTACCACTGTTCATATTACCACTGTTCATATTACCACTGTTCATATTACCACTGTTCATATTACCACTGTTCATATTACCACTGCTCATATTACCACTGCTCATATTACCACTGCTCATATTACCACTGCTCATATTGCCACTGCTCATATTACCACTGCTCATATTGCCACTGCTCATATTACCACTGCTCATATTGCCACTGCTCATATTGCCACTGCTCATATTGCCACTGCTCATATTACCACTGCTCATATTACCACTGCTCATATTGCCACTGTTCATATTACCACTGCTCTCATATTGCCACTGCTCATATTACCACTGCTCATATTACCAGTGTCCCCAGCAAGAATTGGGTCAGAGTATGCTAATTAGGGATGTTTCCTTCAAAGTCAGAGCACATCTGCCTGAGAAGCCAGGAAACAACAGTCTGCATACAAATAAACCAAATCTGTAACTCAGAGCCTGGAACAGGAATAAAGTCTAGAAGTGGACAAACAGCCACAGCTTTCCACGGGAATTGATAGCTGGTCAACAGGAAGAAGAAGAGAATAAAGCACTTCAACACAGTTTTTCTCTCTGCAGCATATACATTTTTTCTTCTGTTTGTTTGTTTGTTTTTAACAATCCATGTTGTGTGGCGCTGGTAATCATGTCTATCCTCTTAACAATCCATGTTGTGTGGCGCTGGTAATCATGTCTATCCACTTAACAATCCATGTTGTGTGGCGCTGGTAATCATATCTATCCACTTAACAATCCATGTTGTCCTGGTAATCATATCTATTAACAATCCATGTTGTGTGGCGCTGGTAATCATATCTATCCACTTAACAATCCATGTTGTGTGGCGCTGGTAATCATATCTATCCACTTAACAATCCATATTGTGTGGCGCTGGTAATCATATCTATCCACTTAACAATCCATGTTGTGTGGCGCTGGTAATCATATCTATCCACTTAACAATCCATGTTGTGTGGCGCTGGTAATCATATCTATCCACTTAACAATCCATGTTGTGTGGCACTGGTAATCATGTCTATCCACTTAACAATCCATGTTGTGTGGCGCTGGTAATCATGTCTATCCACTTAACAATCCATGTTGTGGGGCTCTGGTAATCATGTCCATCCACTTAACAATCCATGTTGTGTGGTGCTGGTAATCATGTCTATCCACTTAACAATCCGTGTTGTGTGGTGCTGGTAAGCATGTCTATCCACTTAACAATCCATGTTGTGTGGCGCTGGTAATCATGTCTATCCACTTAACAATCCATGTTGTGTGGCGCTGGTAATCATGTCTATCCACAACTATCAGTCTCATATACTTTGTCACTTCTGTCACAGATGATCATCCATGCCATGATGTCAAACTATGCAGCACCTTCTCTCTGAGCCCCCCTCTGTCTCTTTTCCTCTCCCACAAGACTCAACAATGTACAGTGTCTCCTTCTTATACAGGCAGTGAGTTCTCTTCCTGAGACAATTTCTCTCCTGACATCTTCAGTACTCTTTTTATTTGTCCAGGGAATTCTCATCATTCATCTATAAAATCACATCTTTCTTGCTTACAGATAATTTTCACCGATTGGCCAACTGTCCATGATTCCCTTCCATAAGTCAAGACAGGTTGTGTATAGCTCTTAGGAATTATTGAGAAACCAGTAGACAAAATTGAGCGAACAAGAAAGTAAACAAAGCCAGTATAAAATGATTGCCTTTGTTTTGTCTTCAGGTCAGCGTGAGAATAAAGGCACTTTAGTGGGAAGCAATGCTGGCATTACATCATTGGATTTCAGTGCAGATGTAAGCAATGTCCATTGTTACTGTTGGCTTGTGTGTGGGCCATGTTCATTGTTACTGTTGGCTTGTGTGTGTGAGCCATGTCCATTGTTACTGTTGGCTTGTGTGTGTGGGCCATGTCCATTGTTACTGTTGGCTTGTGTGTGTGGGCTATGTCCATTGTTACTGTTAGCTTGTGTGTGTGAGCCATGTCCATTGTTACTGTTGGCTTGTGTGTGTGAGCCATGTCCATTGTTACTGTTGGCTTGTGTGTGTGGGCCATGTCCATTGTTACTGTTGGCTTGTGTGTGTCGGCCATGTCTATTGTTACTGTTGGCTTGTGTGTGTGGGCCATGTCCATTGTTACTGTTGGCTTGTGTGTGTGTGTGTGTGGGTCATGTCCATTGTTACTGTTAGCTTGTGTGTGTGTGCTATGTCGATTGTTACTGTTGGCTTGTGTGTGTGGGCCATGTCCATTGTTACTGTTGGCTTGTGTGTGTGGACCATGTCAATTGTTACTGTTGGCTTGTGTGCGTGGGCCATGTCGATTGTTACTGTTGGCTTGTGTGTGTGGGCCATGTCAATTGTTACTGTTGGCTTGTGTGTGGGCCATGTCCATTGTTACTGTTGGCTTGTGTGTGAGAGGGAGAGAGAGAAAATAAGTTTGGTTTGTTACTGTTAGCTTGTGTGTGAAAGAGAGAGAATAAGTTTGATGTGTTGCTATTATCATGTATGTGATAGAGAGAGAAAGAGAGAATAAGTTTGATGTGTTGCTATTATCATGTATGTGATAGAGAGAGAAAGAGAGAATAAGTTTGATGTGTTGCTATTATCATGTATGTGATAGAGAGAGAGAAAGAGAGAATAAGTTTGATGTGTTGCTATTATCATATGTATGTGAGAGAATAAGTTTGAGCTATTATCAGAGAGAGAGAGAGAGAGAATAAGTTTGATGTGTTGCTATTATCATGTATGTGATAGAGAGAGAGAGAGAGTTTGATGTGTTGCTATTAAGAGAGAATAAGTTTGATGTGTGTTGCTATTATCATGTATGTGTTGATATGTATGTGATAGAGAGAGAGAAAGAGAGAATAAGTTTGATGTGTTGCTATTATCATGTATGTGATAGAGAGAGAGAGAGAGAGAGAATAAGTTTGATGTGTTGCTATTATCATGTATGTGATAGTGAGAGAGAGAGAGAGAGTTTGATGTGTTGCTATTATCATGTATGTGATAGAGAGAAAAAGAATAAGTTTGATGTGTTGCTATTATCATGTATGTGATAGAGAGAGAAAGAGAGAATAAGTTTGATGTGTTGCTATTATCATGTATGTGATAGAGAGAGAAAGAAATAAAAAGTTTGGTGTGTTACTGTTAGCTTGTGTGCGATAGTGTGTGTGAGAGAGAGAATGCGTTTGGTGTGTTACCATTTATTTATTTGTGATACAGAGAGAGAGAGAGAGAGAGAGAGAGAGAGAGAAGGGCGGTGGTAATAAATGTGATGTGTTGCTATTATCTTATGTGTCATTCATCTTCCAACACATTGTATTCAGGACACAAAAATAGTTGGCGCATCCAATGATTTTGCCAGCAGGGTATGGACAGTTTTAAATCAGCGGTTGCAGGTGAGTGTATTAACCCATTGACTGCCGTGCTCTTTATTTAACCCTTGCACTTTCCACATACCACACATATTAGTTTGTACTAAAAATATCATAGCTTCACAAATATTTAATATACACATATCATATTTTGTATTTTTGCTCCAAATTGAATGGGGAACTTATTTTAAGAAAAAATATTTTGTTTGTTTTACATCATCATCATCATCATGTGCCTGTACATTGGTGCAAAAAAAAAAAAGGAAATTGTAAAATCTTTTATCTGTCAACAATACAGACAAAATTTCACGAGACATAAAACATGAAATTGTATTGTTTTATCAACATATAAAATCTTGTGCAATTCAATATTAGTGCAAAAAAAAAAAGGAAGAAACAAAAACCACTCCCATTTATCACATTTGACAGCCAAGATGTGTCAGTAGTGTAGTACAGATGTGTCAGTAGTGTAGTACAGATGTGTCAGTAGTGTAGTACAGATGTGTCAGTAGTAGTCAAACACAGCTAACCAACTAGTCGCCCTTGAAGCTAGATACACGGGTCGCAGGGGCTGTGCCACAACCAACGGTTGCTGCGTCCTCGTCTTTCTCAAAATATCGGTCGCGTTATTCTTGTGTAAGATGGCAAGATAACATCCGACAACTGATCAGACCACTAGTTGAGCCGCCGACTCATAGGTCAGACGGCCCGACTGTTTTTCTAAATCGTCCGTTTCACTTTGTGAAAATTCGCAGTCCTGTATGGTACCGTGTTATTTTATTAGCCGGAGACGACAGCCTTCTTGAAGAACCATCGAAAAGCTTTGTGTGTTTACAGTAAGACAACCTTTCCTGTAACACAACCTGGTAGACGATCCCGGTAATAGGATTGGACATCTAGCTTCAAGGGCGATTAGTTAGTTAGCTGTGTTTGTATAAATACAGTGGAAGGGAAAGACATTGAAGTGGTCAAGTGATAAAAATATTGATCGATTTAACGCGTGTCAAGAAAAGTGGGACTGTTTTGAAGCCCTTTGATATTCCCAGTGAAACAAAACATGTTAGCAAAAATAGCGATAATTTTGTCACAGTGTGGTTTTCGCCTTTGCTAAAAGTTGTCCTGTGTTTCTTAAAAGGAGCCCTAGGTTGTGTAAAAAGTTGCCTCATGCTTCGTCAAAGTCATCTTATATTTCCTAAAAGGCGCCATCTTGTTTCTAACCGTTGTCTCTTATTTGCTACATGTCACCCTCGAGTGTCTAAAAAGTAGCCCTCTGGGTGTCTAAAGTCACCTTCTGGTTTTTGTAGAAAGATGCCCTCTGGGTTCTTGACGTCGTCTTCTGTTTTTTAAAAGCTGCCTTGTGTTTTCTTAAAGTCACCTTGTGTCCGAGTTGTCAGGGACAGCTGGTGAAAGATGTGTGTCATACCTTGTGTGATTCAAGATGTATCAAAGGCCCAAGACATCGAGTGTTTCCCCCAACAGAAAAGACATCTTAGTGACTCGCATAGTACCAATGTTCAAGGAGGACGCTGACAACGCCGAAGCAACGAGGAAGATTTAAGTGACCTAAGGTGGCTCGTCAAGAAAAATATCGGGTGATTGTGGGGTCCCAAGGGCAGTGCATTACTTACTAAGAACCGTCGGCGACTGACTTGACAATACCAGTGAAAGACATGCTGTGTCTTTTGCGTGCTTTTTGGTGTCCCGTAGAGAAAACCATCGAGTGATTTGCTGTGTCAGAAGGCCAGTTAGCTACTTAATAGGAACTTTAGGTGACGACTTGTCAAGACCAGTGAAAGATATGCTCTATCTCTTCCGTGGCTTACGGTGTCCTGTGAAGAAAAACATTGGGTGACTTTTGTGCGTCAAGGATAGTGATCGGGTCATCCGGCGTCCTCAGTTATCGCCTTGTCAAGACCCGTGAAAGACATGCGACGTCTCGTGAGTCCTTTACGTTGTCCGTCGAGAAAGATATAGCGCCTTTTTGGTACCTCAGCTCTCCTTCGTCGCCTGGTGGCGTCACCTCTGACCTACAACATAATCCCTCCCTGAGCGGTGATATCTAACATTATGACACAACAGTTCTCCTTTTTTTTTTTACTATAGCTCAACCATATATGTATGGTCAGAACCCGACACTTTGACACACCGGTCGTCCTTTTGCTATATTTCCCCCTACAACTTAAACTACCACTGAGCACCCAGCCTCCATTAATATATCACAACGGCCGCTCTTTTGTTAACGTTTTCGTTTTTACTACAACCTAAACCCTCCCTAACCTATCAATATCCACACTATGACAAGACACCTGCCACCCGTTGTATGTTTTCCTTTTTACTACAGCTTAAACTATTTCTGCGCGGCCGGCCTTCCTTACCATTGCCATAAAATTCGCCATTTTACCATAAATTCCCATTTTTTATTTTAACTCGAACCCTCAATGAGCGGTTGGCATTCGTTGCTATGACACAAAAGTCGCCGTTTTGCCATACAGTCTCATTTTACTATAACTCAAACACTCCTTGAGTGGCCGGCATCTTGTTGTAATATATATATATATATCTATATATATCCCCCGCCAACCAACCACTCCTACTTTATCTATTACAGAACCATAAGCCCGTGCCGACTCTATTAGTCACCCTGTCGCCTCTGCCCCACCCGCCCTGCCTGCTCCGTTTTATATAACACCACCTGTCATCTGCAGTTATGAAGATAATAATGTGCCTGTAAGTATCGATTTTCCGATCCGAACAACAATACACTCTCTGAGCGGTCGACCTTCGCTCCCATGACATAGATGATGATGATGCCGGCGCCCGTTGCCCTTTCTAATATATCCCCGGTCACCACGCCGCCTTCCTAGGTTTCTTTATCGTAAGTCTAAAACGGCTCCCCTCTGCCGCTTTTAACTGCCACCTATAAGTCTCTTTCCATATCCCCTAACTTGTTGTAACATATATATCCCCCACTAACAACCCACTCCTAAATTTGTCTATTACAGAACCCATAAACCAACACCAACCGTTTTAGTCGCCCTGTCGCCCCGGGTCCCTTGCCCCCGCCCGCCCCGCTGCTCACCGATGTCAGGTAGGCCCCTTCTCTTCTGCCCTTAACACTATGAAAAGACAGCTACCCTTCTGTCGTATGTCCTCCTTTTTACTACAGCTCAAACCATCCCTTCGATACCATGACACAGATGATGATGATGGCTCTCGAGTCGCCCTTTCTAATATATCCCCGTTCATCAAACAGCCTTCCTAGATTTCTTTACCTTAACCCTAAAACGGTCCCCCCTCTGCCGCTTGTCACTGTCTATTTTCATATCCCCTAAATTGTTGTAACATATATATCCCCTGCTAGCAAACAACTCCTAATGTTGTCTATTACAGAACCCATAAACCAACACCAACCGTTTTAGTCGCCCTGTTGCCCCGGGTCCCTTGCCCCCGCCCGCCCCGCTGCTCACCGATGTCGGGTAAGCCCCTTCTCTTCTGCCCTTAACACTATGAAAAGACAGCTACCATTCTGTCGTATGTCCTCCTTTTTACTACAGCTCAAACATATATATCTCCTGCTAACAAACAACTCCTAATGTTGTCTATTACAGAACCCATAAGCCCGCGCCGACTCTATTAGTCGCCCTGTTGCCCCTACCCCACCTGCCCTGTTTTAAATAACGCCACCTGTCGCCTGCAGTTATGAAGATAATAATGCGCCTACAAAGTATCGATTTCCTAGGGCGCTTTGTATTAGGTTTTTTAATATCCGCCACTTTAGCAAACATCTGGCCCTGCACTAAAGAAATATTTGCCTTTCCCCCGACGAAAATACCCACACCCCAACATACCGACAATGAATAACCAGTTGCTATGGAGACAACATATCGATTCATGCACCATATGTCTTTCCCTGAAACCCGTCACGCGTGCTGTCATCAGCCTCCTGATCGATATTTACTAAGGATAAAGAGGGAAGCTGTCCCGATCGATATTTACTAAGGATAAAGAACAGCCTCCCAGAGAAACCAAGCAGATTTGGCCGCCATCTTTTACTAAGAATAAAGAAGGAGGCTTAATCGAAATAATACCTGTATTACTGCCCTATACTACTCACATACATACAGTCCGGTTAACATGGACGCTAGGCAGCGGCACTGTTCGAAGCAGAGGCAAATTTTTTGCTTCTTCCGGACGGTGGCCGATGCATTTTTGCTCCATTTGTAGACTGGATATAGTTTTGTCGCTCACATTTTGAGTTGAATGCATGGCGTGACACTGTGAGCTGCGGATTGCATTTGGAATGTTTTTTTCGACTGTGACCAACGTGGTGGTGTGAATTGTAGATACAGAAAATGGCGCGATACCTGTCGTGCAATGTTGGCGGTGCCCGTATATGATTGAAATTGATCGCATGGGCAACTGCTGATCTGTTGCAACAAGTTCTGCTATCATCAATGAAGAACTGCATTTCTAATGTTGGACTGTTTGTGTTAGCACTTCGGATGGCTACCGTATGCTTTAATGCGAGTGTATTCTAGATATGCTGAGAAAGCACTCTGTCAATCTTTCCACAAGGGACTGTGATAAACATTCTTTGTGTTTTTCGTTGGCACAGGAGCGGAGCAAAGATGGGGTGACCCGTTTGCAATGAAGCTGAAACTAAGACTACCAGACCAGACTACACACAGTCCTACACGCGCAAACACACATACATATATAGATACACACCCACAGACACACAATACAAAAATCTTTACACAAAGAGACGCACATATACACAGGCATTCACGCCAACACACATATACACACAGGCACATACCAACACACACCCACACACACAAACGCAACAAAGACACACACACAGCCACATACACTTAGAACACACAGACACGCAAACATTTACAGGCACATGCAGACACACACACACAGATACACATGTAGACACATACACACAGTCATACGCGCACGCATGCACGTGCACGCGCACACACACACATACATACATACAAACATGCATGCCCCTT